TTTTTTAGAAAATATATACGTGTCTAAAAAATATCTAAAAGACACCGTAAAGACGTCTTCTAGACATTGCGTGTTGTCTGAGTTTATTCTCTGTGTCTCATAGACTCTACTAAAGCTTTCTATATCGCTTTTGCCAAACTTCCAATATATATCTATTTCATTTTAAGTACAACACTAGTTCAGTCACAAAGAATAGACCTTTTTACGTGTAATATGTTTTATTTTAATCTTTGTATTTCGCGCGCGTTGCCACCACGAACATTGACGCGACGCGGTCGATGAAAAGCACCGAGAAGCGCATGAAGGGACTGCGTCTCCGATCGACGCGACGCGGAGTACCCGGGGTAACGAGGAGACGGTTGCCTTGTGTATCACCGGTCTGCTGATCAGCTAAATTTAGAAGTCGTGGACGACGCGCGGACCTCGACCTTTCTCGGCCGTGTCGTCCTTCGTCATCGCGGGCCGCGTCGAACTCAAGGTGTCCGGCCGGAGCGATGGCGGGTTCGGAGACGTCGCGAGCCGAGATCAGAGAGAGACCCTCGGCTATCGTGCGCATCGCATATCATGTGCGTATAACGATAGCTTTTCAGATCGATTACAGCCACCTTTCCACACGGCGGTGTTTATTTAATAAATCGTCTTTCCCATTTTCATTATCGACTTGCGGACGTTTTAACGTTCGGAGTGTGATGTTGCGGAAAGTTACTATTCCCACTGACGGAGAATTTTCCGCGATTCGCCACAACACCACGGACATCGTCAATACTACGATATTAATCAAAGTATTATGTTAGTCACAACCTCCGAGTCTCGGAGACTCCGACCGCGAATTATTACAATTTCCGAGTTGACGTCACTGAGATCGTATGCGGAATAGCGTAATTTTAAAGTTCATTTATTATTCGAAACGTGAAAAGCTTTAGAAATATTTTATGTGATCGAGATATACCACGGAAGTTAAGTAAATCCAATGTTTGAACCGATCGGCGATCGCGAAAACTGCGAGATCGACGACGAATTGTCACAGCTATTTCAAGCTCGGATTAATCACGTGACTTATGTCTATTTCTACCAATATAGATTAACTTTACTCTCGGTTACTTTTTATATTTTTGTACATGAATATTTTTAAGCACCAGGATCCTCTTTGTGATCGAAAATAAGATTATTTCTCTTAATTGATTTATTCTTATAATTCCTACTTACAATTGTATATTTTTCTAATTCTGAGTAAAGTGTAAATTAAACTGAGACTAAAGTTAATTTCGGAGAAAATAAATATTAAAATGACTTTAAAATTTCTCTCTCTCTCTCTCTCTCTCTCTCGATTAATTTAATTTTTGCGATTACTGAAATAATACAATGAAAAATATTTGAAAAACTAGAATAATATATATATATATATACAAAATATATATTAAAATACACAACCATTAAGATAGGATTCTATTTTTAATCTTATAATACTATACATATATGATTTTATATGCGTAAAATCATAAATAAAATATAAAATCATTTAACTATATAAAATTATATATATGTATCTATTTTATATATAATTATATGTAAAATTTTATCTTAAAATCTGAAAAGAATTATAAACTGTTTCTGAGATAAAGACTTAACACAGAAATAGTCATCTAGTGTGATTCTTATACTCCAAGCAGCAAGAAAATAAATATTAGTCACAGTAGTTTTCTTTATCTAAATAGACAATTTACATTTAAAAAAACGTTTAACCGAAACATTGTTTACAGTATGTAAACACATTAAATAAATTTATTAAACCGTCGAAATATCTCGCATAAAAATAGTATTTTGAACTATAGTAAGAGAACATTTAATAGACGTTATAAATTTCTTATAAACGTTTTCATAAATTTATTAAATAGTTTAAGAAAAACGTATCAAATTTTAAACGTTTATTTATCAGTTTATATTACAGATTACAAACATTTACTTCTAACATTTATTAATTATATCTTGAATGTAACTGTGTCATTTGAATAATGATCGAGAATTTATACGTAGTTTTTTATTTTTCTATATTTTTTTAGAAAGAAATAAATCTCAAATATTAATAAATTGTAGAACAGTAACATATAATAAATAATCATAAATTTTAATTGGGATGTAAAAAACATCCCGGGTGATCGTTTATGTAAAAGAACTAGGTGACTATTCCAGAGTTAATTCTGTCTTTTCGCGTCGGGCAAAATCCGGACGCATGGAACATTGGTCCTTTCACACCTGCCGTTTGTCCCGCAGCAATTGAGCGTCATGTGCGGCACGCGCGATCCCACCGTGCCGAGCATCGCACCCGCGAATGCCGGCGACACGGACGTTCGTGGCATGATGTGCACACGTCGTCTGCTGGGCTTGCCGGTGTTCGTCACGGTGACTTCGACGTTCTGCGCCGCGTACAAAGCCGTGCGAGGTTCCCACGAGTCGATCGCGACGATACTGGGCCACGCAGAGAACGGGATGTGCGCGGGCCTGGCGTTCGTCAGCCCCGTTACCGGCAGCATCGCCAGTCTTCTGGAAACGCCGCTCAAGATCGTCGACAACGCGGTGTGCGTCGGACTGGACTTCGTGGAGGAGACGGTACCTTCCGTGAAGCTGCCACCCGACGAAATCTACGGGAACATGAAGGACAGCGTCAGGTGATGGCCTGACTACATTAGTAAAACTATACTGCATGTAAAAAGTTATATTAGGTATTTTAAATCATCTTAAGCCCCCATTTTACAATTTTGTAAACGTAGTTGCAAGTAGTTGTAGTTGTAAAGCCCATTCTACAATTGCGTAAGCGTATAGTTGTAAGTAGTTGTAATTGTAAGAATTAACCAATTACAGTCAAATATGAGGAGAATATTAAGCTTAAGGACTGATTGGTTAATTGTTACAACCATGCTTAGACAATTGCAGAATGAACTTTATATAAAAAAAACTTACGATGTGTGTTTATAACTAATGCTTACGCTGTAAGCATTGTTATAAACTGTCAGGGCTGTCAGTTAATTTTTTAAAGATAATACAATTGATAATTGTTTCCGATGCGTTTATTTTTTACGTTATAGGAGTATATTCACGTCAACATTAGAAACCCTCAAGCTTCTGTTTGGCGAACCGAAGGATCGAATAGAGGACTTGTCGATTACAAACGAGACCGCACAGGGAATCCGAAAAGTGTCTAGCTGAATGTTGAAGGCATGAAGAGACGTACGTGATTCGCACTCAGGCTCTCGTCGTGGTGTGCACTGTGATGTTTCAAGCCAGGATTCCGCACTGCGAGTTTATATTCACGCCGAAACAAGTCTCGAAACAAATATCTATTTCAGATACAGTCTGTAATTCGTGTAAGAATTCAGAATGGAATTTTATCTCGTATAAGTAGAATTCTGTCCTGAAATCAGGCGCGAATTATAAGTCGTCTAAAGCAGATTTTAGCTATAAAACATTCGCCGCGTTCAGAAGAAGTTATAGTGCTTAGTAATTAGCGCTTTGCGCAGATTAAATTATTCTTTTACATCTAGAAAAACAATCCTATCTTAGTGAAGAAAACTTTCAACAATTGCAAAATAAATGCATAATTCTGCTGAACGCGGTCATTGCAATATAAAAATATAGTTAATTGAACAACACATGATAACGCAATCTCGATGATAAATGACATAAGTGTGATAAAATGTAAAATGAATGGCTGCGTACAGCAGAGAAAACTGATCAGTGAGTGCTCAATGATTGTTTAATATGATTCATGCGGTTTTTGCCTTTATAATTTCTCTATTGGATTTAAGATCGGTATTCATATTATATATAATCAGTTCTTCTATTTATATACAAGACTGTCTTAAGTCCAGTTTTAAGATGTAAATCACCAATTAGAGCCCTATTAGCATTGCATATTAAAATATTACTTAAGATGGTCTTGAAATAAGAACGGATGAACATCAGTCTAAATATATAAACTAATCTTCAAAGAATCTTACAACAATTGCAAAGTTGCTTTTTCTGCTGAACGTAGCCAATGACAAATGAATGAGTCGTCCAGTTAAACGTTTGAATGCGAGATACCTTTGTACGATAGTTATTTTACGTTGTTATTTAAATAAATTTCGTTTTCGTTTTTATATCTCCCTTAGTTAGGCACAATTTACGTTGTAAAGTACAGCGTCGTGCTGTTTAACGTTGATTACTTAACACTCATTTTAAACAATTCGTAATTCGTAGCAGAATTCAGATTAAAATTGAGTGAGCTTATACTCGAATTTGAATTCAAGAGACAACGTGGCAGACAATCGATATATCGAATCGCGCAATGCGCGATTGCGAGACTCTTCGATCTCATCGATTGAGGGCGTCTTTCACCAACTCCGATTAAAGCTCGAGACACAATGCGAGGAAATAGCGATAGGAATAACACGATTTCAATCAATCAGAAACTGTATTCCGATTTCTGATAGGTTGAAATCACGTTATTCCTATCGCTATCGCTATTCCCTCGCATTGTGTCTTGGACTTAACGCCAATCGATGGTTAACTCGATCACCACGATTGCCAACGTGAGAACTAAACACAAAGAGGAAGAGAGAGAGGACGTTCTAATACGTTAAACTGCTGTTGGCACTACTGCGAGTTGATCGTTGATTAATTTAACCAAGAAGTCCTGATGAAAGAGGTCCTGAATCACCGACTTCTTCAGCTTGGCACAGGTCGATGATCACTGACGATCAATTCTAGCAAGACTACATTCCGAAATGTCCTCTCCGAGGAAGATTTTATTGTATATACTATAATATATGTTACATGCATTATACGGTTCAAGTAAAATTTTCCTCGGAGAGGACGTTTTAGAATATTGTGAATATCCCAAGTAAGCTTCGTCAAAAAGCAGAAAGTCGCGGAAGAAACGAAAATCGGGAACGAGAGGGGTAGCGGGATGAGTCAAAGGGCTGCACCTTCGATACATCGCTCGATTTATCGCACAGTCGTATAATCGCATGGCGTCGGTCCGCCATGTTATCACGCGTAACGTAGACGATTACCGCCAATTCTCTACCCGTGGTAGATACGGTCAACCGTGGTGAGATTAGGTAGGAATTAGGATTACGCACGCATAGCTTTACGCAAAGAGTAACGCAAGTAACGACTTATCGAGGCTAGCGAAAAAAAGCGGGCGTCATTGAACAGTGAACGGTGAAGAATCTTACGATCGCGTTGGATCGTACCTCGTCCTGATCGGCGACTCGAGGTGATGCTACCCTGATTACGTATCCCCCTCTCACTCGTCGCAATGTCTGACCATTACTGTTTTGTGTGTGCGAGCAACGAGGGTGTCTTCCTGGACGTCACGCCTGATAATCGAAGCACGTTCGGCGACCAGATCAAGACGTGTTTGTCCACTAAGGTAGGATCGGTAAATCAACAACGCTGCGCAAGACATCTTTTCCCCCCCGATTCGAGAAACTGTTCGCGTTATTCGACTCCTCGAATATTTGCGCGTATTTGAGATCGATCCTCGGAATCGTCCTATATCCCACATATGCTTCGTTCGCCTCTTTTAACGATATTTATCTACTTGCATCCAACGTTTGTGTCGACATTTTGAAATAGAAAATCCGTTCTATTCACGAAAAATGGGAAACACGGTAGAGGAACAAATCTATATAAATTGTTGCACACTTCCGTCCTGTAAAGCATCAAGTCGCGGGCGATTTTATCGAGAAACAGAAATGCTCGTTGGAATTTCGATATGCGAGGGATGATCGCGATCGAAAGATTTTCTTCGGGAAAATTGCTGCTTCGAGTTCAGGTTAGAATCATACCGGTTTATAGGTTAGATTCGGGCTTGAGATTCTGTGTCGAGACTCGTACTCGTGACCGCTGCGACGAACGTGTCAGTCGTCTTTTTTTTTCCCCGTGCAAATAATCGAGGAAATTGACGCCTACGGATCATTTTATTTTCAATTTAACGAAACGCGTTTCGCGCATGATTGACTTTGCGCGTGCATCGGGAAACGAAGCGTCGCGCCATCTGTGAGCGAAGCCCGTAATCTGCGCTCGTTGAAACAGGAAACAAAGGGGAAGAAAGAGAGGAAACGACGTTGTTACTACGCCGTAACAAATAGTTCCGAAATCCTGGTCGGAAGTCGGAATACCGCGAGGGATGGCGGGGTTGCAAGTGATGCGTGACAAGCCATATGACTTGCATGCAGTTTTGATTTTTTTTATTCGACAAGCCGAATAAGCGATATTTTCTTTGCAAAAAAAAAACGAGACAATGTGGAGCGTGTCTCGTCTAGTATCCATCTCGTATTTCGTTTTACCGACATTTTGCGGAACGTACGTGCGTAATGTGTATGCGTTATGTTTGCATGTATATAAAAATATATACACGGTGAATGATTGAAGTTTCTTTACTCAGTTTAGTCTCCTGGCTGACTCGCAATTCTGTATTTATATTTATTTATGTCACGTATTTTTGGAGAAATTTGATTAGACTCGAATATTTTTGGATAACTATACAACTGGATATTATTGTGTTGTGTTATTTTTATTGTATTCGCTTGGATTTTATTAAATCATTGTATCTGACTATATTGGTTTATTTGTTGATAAAAGTTTCGAACGTGTGTGTGTGTGTCTGTTTGTGTGCGTGCGTGCGTGTGTGTGTGTGTATGATTACAAAACAATTCAGTTTTTTGTTTTCTTTCATTCGTAACGAAAGAAAGATAATTTAAAATTAAGAATGATAATTGGCCAATTTCAGAATAATTGTCTCAAATTTATAACCTGTTCTGTTGTCTTAGAGTAACGAGAGCATCAATCTGTCGAACAAGATATGTTACAAATGCGCGTATGAATTAGATCAGTGCACTAAGTTTGTACAAAGGTATAAGAATTCGCACAAGGTGCCGGAGCCGAAAGTTCAAACGTCAATGCGATGTTGCTTCCTGTGCTACGAATTAGTGGAAAGTGACCGTATCTTCGACATTAGCAAGGATAAAAGCATATTTAATCCTTTACGGAAGATCCGCAGTGTTTTCAACGATGATGTAAGTTTGCATTTCTCCTTTTTATCGCAAGAAATTAATGTAACTACAATTATTTATATTTTAAGTATTCTGTTCTTGCAGGTTAACAAGAAAAACAATTCGTGGTTAATATGCCTAACATGTCGATATAACTTGGATGTTTTATACGACCTAAAAAGGATATATCAAGATTCATTCAACAATATAAAGGCTCTGATTAATGAAGAGATAAACTATTCAAATTATCCAAAGGTAATAACAAATTATTGCGAATTATAATGAATTATGTATACAGTCGGACAATAATGTCTGTTTCTATTTGTAGATTTAACTTTAGTTGTAGTTTAACTTATTTTTTATCTTTTTCTAGTTTTAAGAATTAGAAAAGATAAAGAGTAAATTAAACTCAGATTAAACTTTATCTATATTGATAGAAATAAACATAAAAGCCTCTTTTACTTAATCTCCAGTTAAACTAACAGTTAACTCGCTACAATGCCAACAATTATCTTATGTCCATTTCTATCAATGTAAATTAATCTCAATTTAACTTATTTCTTACCTTTTTTTAATTTTAACAATCAGAAGAAGATACTGAATAAGTTAAACCGAGATTAAAATTAATCTACACTGGTAGAAGTGGACATTAGAGAAAGAGGAGAGAAAATAGAGCGATAAATTAAATTGCTGTTGGCACTACTGCGAATTAATAGTCTGTTAGCTAATTAACCGAGATTGGTGAAAGAGTCCTTAACCCTAGTTATACATATTCTTTTTCTACTCTTGATATTCACACTTGGGTCCCTGGGACCCCATCCATATTTGTTACAACTTTCATAAAAATGGACACACTTCAATCAATTTTTTTTCCAATTGATGGAGGATTGATTGAGGAACAAGTCGATAATGTATAAAAGTTGGTAGAATTAAGGAGCTTCGAGATATATAGATTCAAAGTAAAAGAAAAGTTCAGTTTAGAAACACGAAAAAATCTTGATTTAGCAAATTGTACTGGAGGGTTTCTGGAACCCCCTAGGGTTAACATAATAAGGCTGATTTTTTTCCTCTTATGTTAGCTCTGCAACCTGCTATCATTGGCCATTTTTAACCTTGGTTCCTTCTCTACTCTATTGAAATAGCAGTTAAAAATGTTAAGACATGTTTGTGTTATCTGTAATAAAAAGAAAAATGCAATGAAATGTTTATTTTGAGATAAAAAATGGTTAATGATAACAGGCTGCAGGATTGCTAATATAAGAAAAAATAAGTCACTATTTTATTGTCCAATTATGTATATATTGTCATATTGTATTTTGTGTTGATTTGTTTATTTTTAATGGCATTTATATTAATATTTACAATTATACTTTTTTTATTGCAGGTACACACAGATGTTGTAAATCGCAAAACAACCATTACCACGTTTCCAGATATTACATTTTATGGTTCAATAAATTCCGATAGCGATAGTAACGAAGAGGACATGGCACGTGGTAAACAACACATTAAAGAACGTAAAGTGCGGAGTAATGTACAAACGAAACTGCGAAGCAACAAGTCGAAAGTCAGGAATTGCGACAAGTGTCATAATGCTGTTGCGAACGACATTGACATGTACAGATTTTATCACACGGGTCTAACGGTCTGCAAAAATTGTTGGATAACGATGGATCCGAGTATTACTAAGTCGCAGCGACGATCTCGCCAGATACAATTCAAGACAGAAATGAAATTATGCGCGGTTTTTTTGAAAGATGTACTGAGTCATGAATCACATAAAAAAGATAAAGAGAAAGATGAAACACAGATAGAGAAAGACAAAACATGCAAAACAGAGAAAGACGAAATACTCGAAACCGAAAGAGATGAGACACACGAGACGGAGAAAGACGAAACAGAGAAAGATGAAACACGTGAGACGGAGAAAGACGAGACACGCGAGACGGAGAAAAATGAGATACGCAATACGGAGAAAGATAAGACACATGAAATGGAAAAATATAAGGATGATAATGCATCGTCCGTTAATTCTCAGGAAGAAGCAAAATCTTCCGAAGAAAGTAGTTCTTTAAATATCTCACCTAAGATGAGGAATCACATAGTTAATGGTAAAGCAAGACGAGGTAGGAAACGGAAAATTGACGTAGTGAGATCGAGAAGTGATGTCGAACGTACACCATCGAAAGTGACAAGAGTCAGTAATGAACACACAGACACGAACGAGGAGAAATCGCCGAAAACGACGGTCGATGCAGAACAACAGCTCGGTACTCAGTCGATGAAAAAGCGAGGACGTAAAGGAATAGATAATAGGAGTTCGGATTCTGAAGGTTCCCAAAAGCAAAAAGCATCTGTTGATGCAGAGGAACAGTCCAATACTCAACAGACGAAAAAGCGGGGACGTAAAAGAATAGTAGATAATAGGAGTTCGGATTCTGACAGTCCTCAGAAGCGAAAAATGTCGGTTGATGCAGAGCAACAGTCTAGCACACATTTGACGAAAACGCGAGGACATAAAAGAATAATGGATAATAGGAGTTCGGATTCTGAAGGTTCTCAGAAACAAAAAGAGACAGATAAAATTAAATTAGATGAGAATGTAAATAATACAAAGAAAAAACAGAAAATTAAAGGAACAACCTCAAGCACGCGTTCTGATTCTAGCGATGAAATACCTATTGAAGAAAATATGAGTTTAAAAAGTAGGCTAAAAGTTATGAATTTGTCGGTAAAAGAAGAAAAAGAAAATACCCGCAGTAGAACAAGATCATCTTCTCTGTCCAGTACAGAAATGACATCGACGGAATTTAAAAGCCCGAAATCTCTGTTACAGTCAGAAGTTAAAACGGAGTACACTTGCGACAAATGTAACAAGAAATTTGACACCAAGCTGTCCAGTGCGAAACATAAATTGACACATCTTAAACAAGCTACGTTAAAACTGGAAAAGATATCTGTTACGAATGCTACGGTGAAACAAGAAACAGATCTCATTTCACAAAATGAGATTTCCGAAGAAGCAACGTCACTTTTCGATAGAATTACATCCGTCGATAAACGTACCGATGATCCATCGGAGGACGCACTTATCAATGTCAAAGACAATCCTGACGACGAGCTTTGCAGTTTAGCTAATACAAAAAATGCAAAAGAAAAAATGGAGGAAAAGAAAAGTGATGAAAGCGGTGACATGAACGATAAACCGGACGTAGCGACGAGCGAATTGCGCTTAAAAGAAGAATCGACAAATGATGAAAACATTGAAAAAACAATATCTGAAAAATGTGAAAATTCAGTCACGCTGGACGATACAGTAGTAGAGATAGGAGATGATGAAGGTAGACAGGGTAAAGATGTAAAGGATGAACATACGAAGGATGGGGATAAGACATCAAACAGAGATAGTGACAAATTTGAAGACAATGATGCACAGGAGGCTACTGTTACTATACTGAAAGATCATAAGAACATGGAGAATGACAATGAGAAGAAAGACAAAGATGCAGAAATAAAAAATGACACGGAAGTTCCTTCTACAGAAAAAGAAAATACTATTAGTGAATGTAATAATGATAAAAATGATGAGGAAGCAACGAGTGATAATGAAATAACTAGCTTATCAATTTTATCAAATCATAACATAACAAAGGATAACAAGGATCAAGACGAAAATTGCGAAAATAACTTAGAAAATAACCTCATAGATAATAGAGATGAAATAATAGAAGAACCAGAAATACAAAGCGATTTAATAGATGAGTCTTCGAAGATACATATAGAAGAGCCAGAAGAAAATCTTCCAGAAATTCTATCGACTGATGAAACAGAAACATTAAATGAAAAAAATGATTTAGATGACATAATAGCCATAAATGAAGAGATCGAGGAATTGCAAGAACAACAAAATAAATTCAATGAAAAAAATACAGAAGTTGAAATTATTGCAGATGATGAATCTAATAGTGTAAGAGATATGCCAGATCTTCTAAATAGCGAAACGCACGACCAAATGATGGAAGACGACATTGAAGATGTTACAATAAACAGCGATGACGACGAAACGAAATATAAAAAAAAGATGGAAGACACAATCCAAACAGATAAGAATAGGAAATTAGAAGAAGAGCTAAAGGAGCTCGAGGAGTTGGTAGACGAGAGTACTGCATTGAATAATAAGTACGAAGTACAGGAAGATTCAACTTACGTCCCGGATAATAACTCTGCGGATGCTGCAACCGAGATATTGAAGGAAGTATTTGAACTTGCTGCTGCTGAAGTTCAGCAGCGAGAAGAGATTATTACCACGAAGACTTTAGTAGAGGACGTCGGAATGGAAATGGAAACACTGGAGAACATATCACGTGAGATACGCAAGAGTGCCGATATGCCGTCTTTGGATCCGATTAGCGTCATGGACATAGACGATGATGGTATTATGTTGAACTAATTGTGCCTGTAGCAAACAATCACTACTGTACATTCTGTCCCGTTTTTATCCGAGAAATGTATCTTCGTCGTGTATGCATCTATTTGCAGCTACAAGGAGTTTAAATTGATTGAAAGAAAAAGAGTGTAAATCGTCGAATATCTATGGACGTATACTTTATCACAAACTTATTCTTCAGTATGCTGAAGTTTTCAAGGTAATTTGCACTTTATATTTCTTACATTAGATGAAAATCGGAGAGACTGCAACGATCGGGCGGTCTCCGGTCAAATTTGCAAAGCTTTCGTTACTATATTTTTAACTTATATCATTTAAGAACGTTAAGTATTAAATATAGGTATCACAATAGCATTGACTTCACACTATTTTTCAAATAACAGATTAGCTATATATAAAGCTGTGCTGTAGAATTTTTGCATTAAATGCAGAAAGGGTTAATTTGTTGTAAAATTAAGATGTAAAAGTAAGCTTGTGTTTGTAATAATATATGTAGATGATAAAATATATATATATTAAAACAATATAACTATATATATATATACACATATTAAGACCACAGGATAAATACAGAATAATATTATCAAGATGTTTGCACAATGATTTGTCAGAAATCTATGTAATTTGCATTTTGTTCACACGATATGTGTAACAAGTTTTTATTCATTTTTTAGTATAAGAAAACAATTGATTCATCATAGATAATAATCGTAAATGAATTAAAAATTTTTCGAATATAGAATTGTAAAAAGGTTTTGAGGAGCAAATGTCATATTGACTATTGATAATCGTTATATAATGAATACGTTTTGTGAAGTTTCGTTATAAATTGCAGAAATTGCCGAAGCGATAATAATTATTGGTAAGCTTTTTTAAAAAGCTATATTTTTTGTCATGCTCAATATCGATATGTCATAACATATAACTACATAATATAATTATTTTGGTCGGTATTCATAGATGGTTCTTATTTTAAGATCGTCTTAAGTAATGTTTTAATGCTAATATGGCTCTGTGGCCGATATTCATAGTCATTCTTATATTTGAGACTGTCTTAGATCTCACGAGTACGAGCATAACATAGCAAACAGCGTATCATAGACCAGCGTTGGTTTATCATGACAGTCCCATGTTCGATCCTGGTAGGAATCAAAATATTTATGCTCGCGTTTCTTCTCGGAAAAGGCCAGCAACCTCCTGAGAGTATCCTTGCCCACAGAAACACCTCTCGAAAAATCCGCCGTTTGGAACCGGCATTAAAACTGTAGATCCCATATGCTTGTGACAATTGAATAATCAGCGTGCGCACCACAAGCATATGAAAGGTGTAACACAGGCGTAATGTAAAAGGAAGAAGAGACTGTTTTAAGTACAGTCTTAACATGTCGTAAGCTAATCAGAGGGCTGTATTAGCATCTTAAGACATTACTTAAGACGGTCTTAAAATAAGTACGGACTGAATATCAGCCTTGTAAATTTTCTAAATTCTTATATCAGACAATGCGTTGTTTGCATTATATATTTTTAAATTGGAATTTTTTAAATATGAGTACACATACACACACACATACACACACACATATATATATGTTGTAAAATAGCTTTGAGAATGATATAATTTTGTGTGTAATATAAGTATAAGAAACTTATGAAAGAAATTACAAATAGGTATGTAAATTATAAAAAAGTAACATAATTACAATATAAAATTTAAAGTTATTACATTTTCCAATGCATATATGTATTCTAGGTATTTCATACTGATAGTAGATATTAAAGATATAGGACATTTATCTTTTAATTATATGAAGATAATCTCTACTAATTAATATTATGCTGTTGAAAATTAACAACAGATAATGTAGGAACATCATATTTTTTAATTTTTAAACGATTTTTATTAGTTTATTCAAGTAGTATATTTGCTTGATTATGAAAATAATTATTTATACGGCACGTATGATATATACATATGTAAAAGAATATATTACTTAACTGCGCACAAAAGCATCGCTAATACCTTTCTTTACATTTTTAATACATATATCATTAATATTAAAATTGAAAACAAAAGACAATAAAAAGACTACTGAAAGTTGCAAATAATGCGCATGGATTGTAAAACAATATTGCGTATTTATTATTATTGACGGCGCTGACTTTCAATTGCTTTCGTTGATCTTTTCATTGTTTTTTTTAATTTCGAGAGTACTTATTTTTATTTTATTAAAATTAAATTTGTAATTAAATTTTAATCTTTATCGTAATATTAAAATGCTATTTATAAAATACGTAAAGACGTTCGAACGTTTGATGTAATCGGCATTATATTATTTATTACAAAATAATCATATGTTAAATCGCTGAAAGCATATCGCGACTATGAGACGTCATCTCTAGTTTCCTTGATCAAACTCTTTTCTGAATCTTCTGAAATGTGCAGTGATAATATTACATTGACTTACTTATGATGTAAAGACGCGGTATTCAAGATGTTTAAGAATTGCAAGAGGCGAACTTTTGTAGAGATTTCATTTAAATTTTGATTACTAAATATCGTCCCTTACCGGCGTGTAGCTTCTTCTTTTCTTTTTCAGTCCAAAAAACGCTTCTACGATTTTTCCATTGACAAAGCACCGTTATTGCTTTCGGATCGGCGGTTCCGCACTGCTGCACAAGATGGATATATTGATCAATGATTTCTTGCCCTGTTAAAAAAAAACGAAGGCATTTTAGATGCGTCGCATATTACAGTTTACATGTCGAAGAAGTATATAACTAGCCTTTCGAAACTCCGGCAAGAACTCGCGCTTTATCAGCATCGTTGCATAAATCGAGTTTGTTATACATCTCAAAGGATTTTTCCAAATGAAAGGTTGCAATATCTAGCCTCCTCTAAAAAGAATACAGACTCGTTTTTACATTGTTAACTCTCCAAGAAAATATTCTATTAATGTTTTACGAACACTGATCAGGTAGCGCATATGTATATATTTAAGGTAGATATATTGGCCTGTATTCAGAACGCGTTTTTGTCGAAATGTGCGCTTTTATTTCTGAAATTCTAAGCAAGTTTGTATATGTAATATGAAATATATATGCTAAATACGCACTACCGTTATAAGTGCGTTCTGATGGGCCATTTTGTACAACATAAGAATTCAGGAAAATGTAATAATTTCTCACATAAGATATTCCTCGATAATCTTGTCATTTCTATCCCCTCCCCCTTTTTTGTGATCCAACATTTTATGATTCCATACCTTACTCAAAAAATGCTTGCCAGTGCAGTAGTGTGCCTGTGCCACTTTTCTCGTAAGTCCAGACTCTACTGCACTTACCATGAATAGACAGAGATGCTTCTCCGTGTTTACATCATCGTTCAATTCCTGCAAATATGAATCGCCTGTAAAAACTACGTTAAAAATTCGCGTTTTTTCGAAATTAAGATCGCATAATAAATGCGTGCATGCGCGATGGTAAAATATAGATCAAAAATTTTGAATTTTTTTATTTGCCGTTCTTCACATTCATCATTCTATCGTGACACATAACTTGTACGCAAGTGCCATCGCCATGTGCGCGTTGCATATTCCCTCCGGGTCCGAGATCCTCTTAACCATCGCCAGGAACTTGAAGAAGTTCCGGAAGGCGAGTTTCACATCGCCCGATCGCAACTGACTCATCCCCAGCTCGTATAAAACGTTCGCCATATATTCGTAATGTCCAGCTGCGGATGTGAGGCTGATTAATGATATTGTAGGACGAGATATCTTTTTTTTTATAATTTCAAGAAAACTATGAATTTTACTGAGAGACGAATTGATGTAGAGAAAATTGAATTTCACGATCTTCGAGAGAACGAACCCGAAATAACAGGATAACATTTTAACAAAATTATAAAATGATATAACTCAATAGACAAATATTTTACTATATATTTCTCTTTTTTTTTTTTTTTTTAAATAAACAGCTTACAGTCCGTTGCTCGAGCGAGAGCTTCAGTGTATGCTTTCACAGCGACGTCTGGTTGATCGCAGCCGACTTGTTGCGCGTGCATCAGTAATACTTTATACAGAAGCACGTTGCATTCTCGAAAGATGGTCTCTTCTTTTCGACCAGTTATCTTCGACGCATTCCATGACTTCTTCTGAGACGCTTCACGTGCGATATTTAAGTGATATAGCGATCCTGCCGTGTCTTGCACTGATTGCATCGAGCGAATGTAATTTTATTGATATTAATTTATAATACACTGACTTATAATGATCGGCTACGTTTAGTAAAAAAAATAACTTAATGAGCGCTTTACGTTGGATTATATTTTTAGATCTGAAATGAGAGAATTATTTTTATCGATATAAAGATACAATCCAATAATTATAATGTTCGAGTTGCTTTTTCTGCTTAACGTAGCTATAAATTTGTAATCTATTGCAAATATACCACGTCTGTAAATATTTTATTAATAATAAATGATCAATTGCATATTGAAACGATATAGTATGTAATTGCGGAAAAAAAAATACTGAAACGGTGTGGCTGTTTATGCAGAAAGTCAACAGGAAGTCGTGACTTGCCCGCCGGATCCGTTCGCTTGCTAATTTGCATGTATAATATATTTGCATAGTATAGTTTCGCTAACTTTGTTCGAACAGAAATCGGCCGTACAGGTAGCGTACGAAGATGCTCGTCTGCTGGCTGTTATCTTCTAATACAGCGTTCTCCAGAGCGCTACGATAAAGCCGCTCCGCCACCCACCACCATTCCCAAGTCATTGCTTGAAAGGATAGCGCCATATTCAGAAATTCTGCAGCCGTAGAAATATAGTCTCCTATCCAAAAAATTTTTAACCGTGATACTCGTGTACTCGTACTTTGTACATCGTGCTTCCGGATTAAATGTCAAAGTTCAATGATAGGAATTACCATACACGATTGTGGTACCTCAATTGTTATTGAGAACAATGGTTTCGCTCTTGTATTTCGCAAATGAACGCAACGTTAAAGATTCTATTTAGAAAGGTTTTGTTGAAGTATTTAAAAATTTAGCTGGATACAGATCTGAAAATAACTTTGTTCAATCGTCAAAATAATTATGTAGGCAAGCATGGCATGATGAGCAATGCTACAAAAAATTTTTATATTCTAGTAATTAACTTGAACATTTTCCAACAATATTATTTGTATTTATGTTTAAATTATTCAGAAAATTATTTCCAGAATTATGTCGTTTATTGTTTATTATCTTTACATCTGCATGTCTAGCTGAATTTTTTAATATTTCAACAAAATTGTTGTTTCCGTGTATACATCAATTTTCTTTCGCACCGGCATTTTTGGCTTGCTCGACAGTCATCAAGCCATCTCTTAGGCGCGACATCGCGTTCTTGTTCTTTTTTAAGCGCAGCTTCTCCCATATTAGAGTACCAGGACCAGCCTTCCTACGAATCTCCTCGTCGAGTTCGAATAATTCTTTCAAATATCGGATCGATTCCTCATAGTTGCCTTCTTCGAGCTCGTCAATGATCGCTTCGTGAGGTAGTAAATGGAATCTACTCGAAGATAGAATAAAAGGACGAGTTTGATGGAACATTTATATTTCATTTACAATTCGGATAAAACGAAGGAAAATTGAGGAAAGAAATAGAGGTAATTATTCAGCTCATCTTCGATTTCAATATTAATAAAATCATTCTTGTAATAATTGCTATTATAAATGCATTAATTATACTATTCGACGTGTTTGTATGTGAAACGAAAGAATCTGAAGGGAAAAAAAAAGAGTCGTTCTGAGAGAGAGAATGGACTTTTTATTCCAAAAAATAAAGCGACCTTCTCACTTCTGAAGGGGTTAATATCGGAAGCATCGCCTTCAGTTCGTCCTTAACCTTTCCCATCTCCCCCGATCGGGCTCCCGCGAGAGTTTTGATCGTTGTTGCTCCTGCGATCTCGGGATTGACTTTCGATAATTCTTCGGCAAACCCCTTTCGAATCTGTCTCACGAGCGTTTCTAAGTCACGTCTTTGCACGTCTTTGAGCCGGCCTTTCATCTCCCTCAGTCGCGTGATCGGGAACGAGGAATAGTCGGTTCTTAAGTTTCGCGGCTCGATTAGTGCCGCAATTTATTGCACGAGATAAATATCAACGTAAGCGATAAATATGCGTTATACAACGATGGAGTCAGTAATATACAACATATACATGTAATTTCGCGCGGCAGCGTTTGTTTTACGCACGTGCGCGCACGAGATGCGATTCCTCGAAAAGGTCACCGCGAGATCGAGGCTCCCGAAATTCGCAGCTCACTTCCTCGTCTTCGTGCTCCTCTAAATCCTCTACCCAACTACGCTGAATAAAGAGATGCCGTTTTAAGCGGTGGCGGCTGCCTGCTTCCTCGGCACCAATTTGATCTTGAAGCCCTCCGTGCGCTTGAGAATAATGTCAGCCTGAAGTCTGAAATCGGACTCTTTGATATCTGACTTGATGCGGTAGTTCCTCATGATCGTAGACAGGATGATCTTCAGCTTCAGCATAGCGTATTTGCGACCCACGCAGGAACGAGGTCCAGCCGAGAACGGCACGAAAGCGTAATAATGCCGATTGGCGGTCTTTTCCGGCAAGAAGTTATCGGGGTCGAAAACTTCCGGATTCGGATAGATGTGTGGCTGCCGGTGCATCTTGAAGGTCGTTACTATCACCGTGCTCCCAGCTGGGATCGTATAGTCTCCCGATGCTGAAACGGCAATCGTATAATTTTTTGAGAATTGCAACAAATTATTTAATCAAAGAAGTTGGTAATGCACTAATGTTGGCAATGACTTGTATAATATTCGCATGGCGTTCAATTTGTCCGGAGCAATGCCAATTTCTCGAATATCAAAGTTTGGGAATTATATACATAAAAAGAACGGGCCTTCTTTTCATGTAGACATCTCAGTTTTAAGAACTCACCGAGTTTCAAGTCAGTTTTGATGTCACGCGCAATGACGGGCACAGGTGGATACATGCGAAGAGTCTCCATGAGGCATCGCTCGAGGTATTTCATCTCCAGTGTGTCCTGGAAGGTCGCAGGTCTGTCACTGTCGCCAAAGATCTCGTCGAGTTCTTGGATAACTTTTTCTTGAATGTCCGAATGACAGCCCATTATCGACAAGAAGAAGCTGGATGCAGCCGCGGTCGTGTCATGTCCCTATGAAAATGAATGACAGAACAGACGACTTATTAATTAGAATCGATCCTCTCAAAGTAGTCAAGCTAGTATTTATAGTCTGTTCTTATTTCAAGATCGTCTTAAGTAATATCTTAGGATTATAATGCGGCTCTCTGATCGATTCATAATATCTTAAGACAGTTTTAAATATAAGAATTGACTATGAATATCAGCCTCAGTCACATTTCGCGACGTCTACCTCGAACATAATAGTGTCGACCTGTTCCTTGACTTCTTCGTCTGTCAGGATAGAACCGTTCTGACCGGCCTCTATCAACAAATCGAGGAAAGCTTGCCTCTTTTTCTCACCAACGTCATTATCTTCTACATCGAGGTCATCTTTTAAACCAGCCGCCTGTCCGAAGGAAAGTCCTTCCACAGATGTGCTCTAAGGAATATATTATGTGTTAATAGCTTAATGCAGCTCTTTCTGAAAATTATCTAATTTGAAAATTGTCTACTTTGGTGGTCTTGTCGTTGCTATTTTGCGTATATTCTTCGATAACATTGTGTTTGCCGTTCTTGAATTCCTGCTTCTTGCGTGCAATAACTTTCTTTGTGAGCCCGTGAATGATCTTTAACAAACGGATCTGATCTTTTCCGTATTTCGTAAGATTGAACAGCCAGTCCGGTCTGAGCCAGATTTTTGTGTGACGCAGATGGAGAATGTCGCACATCCTAGTAAATGATAAGGCAATAACGAGATATCTTATATATTTCTTCAACATGAAAATATTCAAACATTTCAAGGGATAAAAATTGCATAAAAATTTTATAACATGGAAACTTGTTGATAGTGTTATAAATTCAAGATATTTTAGCCACAGGAAAAAGTCGGATCTGAGAACAGTTGATCAGAGAATTTCCAATTAAAATCGATTAAAGATAAACTGAATATAAAACAACTCCCGATGTCTTTCTTTCTCAGTTTCCAAATCTGGAATTTGCATATTGGATACTTACTTCATAACAGCCATGGCATATTCGAAGCCGCTTCGGTCTTGCGTGGTCTTGGAAACACCCATGGCGGTCTCGAGAAGGATCTCGACGGTGCACTCGGACATGTAATCGTGGCAGTCGAATTCCTTGTTGCCTTCCTTACGCATTCGTTCCACCACCGCACGCGAATTGGCGTTAAAGAGATCGATGAAACTCTTGAGTATGTTTAAGTGAAACGTCGGCGCGATTAATTTGCGATGGGCGCGCCATTTCGAACCTATGTAATAGATCACTTATTATCCATTTGTTTTTTTATAAATTATTTAATCAAAGAAGTTTGTAATATAACAGTATTCCCCATTTCTTTGCTGCGATCGAATCTAAAGTGATTCATCCTGAATATTTTTAACGAATTGCCATGATCGTGAGACGAATTAGAATACATTATTAACCCAAAAGTAATCATTTCATTTTTTTTACGTGAACGATCACCTGTGGTGTTTTTACTAAAGATTGCATTTAATTAATAATTTTTGTTTCTAATTATATTAGTGCAATCTTTTATTATACTTGTTATAATATAAAAATTCTATTGTGACGGACACATGTGATAAAACATATAAAAATTGGACTGACAATTTGTATTAACCGATGTTACATCAATGATATTAATAGAACGCAGTGGAACAAAATCCGAAGAAAAGAAAGAGAAAGAGTTATATTTCACGGAGATGTATGTAAATTTAACGTAAATTTCCACCCCCCTCCCCATCCCTGTTGTATTCGGTGCTCGTGTTTGAAGACTTTCTATTGAACACGCGGAAGTAGGAAGAAGAATGAGCGTGGGAGAAAGAGTCGGGGGGAGTGAGAGAAAGAGCAAGATAATCATTACAACACGTGGGAGAGACAGAAGATCTATACTTTATGACTGTACATATTAGAGTACACTTACTATTTAGTACTTGAACTGAAACAGACACTCAGAAAGAATGACTTTGCTGAAGTATCTAAAAATTTAGCTGGATCTGAAAATAATATTATTGAACTCAAAATAATTACATAAGAATCTCAAACATGATGAGCAATGTTGCAAAAAGTTTTGACATTTCAGCAATCAGTTTGAGAGTTTTACGTAATTATCCTAATAATTATCCAACAAAATTATTTTTAGATTTGTATCTATAATTGAAGTTTTAATTTTTTTTTAATTTTTTGCCTCAACAAAACCGTCCTTTCTGTGCATATATTTGAAGTTTGGCGAAAGCAAGATAGAAAGTGCAGTCTAGTGCAGCGACAAAGAACAAACCTGGAGAAACAGAGATCGTCGTAATTGTGCAACGCGAGGAAAGACTGCGATGCGCGCATATGTGCGGGGAAACGGAGCTAGGGAGAGAAAGCACCGTCGCGCGTGCAAATTTCCTTCCTGTTTTGCGTCCCGTGGATTACTCGGACTGATTGCATTTCACTCTCCATCCCTCTCTCCCCCGCGTTGCCTTTTCTAAATACAAGTACGTTGTGTCTCGTGCGACACATGCCACGCGCATAGGCGTCGACTCCCCAGGTAGAACAAAATCGTAATAGGATCAAAATAACATTAAATTAAAATCATTTTTCGAAAAAAATCATAATGATATCATTTGATACACTTTTGATGATAATTTTTGTGATGAATTGATGAATTCTTGATATGATAATAATTTTTAACTAAAAAATCATTATGATATCAATAAATGATTTTTGAGTTAAAAATTATTTCTCGTGTTATATATCGAAATCGCATAACGAGATTGCTTGTATTTTGCTGTTACATAAAAAAATGCATATGGAACAAATCTATTGATCTTACAGTTACGGTTACAACTGTAAAAAGATAGTAAATCAAAAGATTCGTTATTATTATAATCAAATAAAGAGTCTATTAATATTCATAAGCCGGTATTCATCATATTTCAGTTCTTATTTTAAGACTATAAATAAATTAGATACAAAGGCCGAGGTGATATTTTTTGCAATAAGTTTTTTTCAAATGCTAATAGCATCAAATCAAAGATTTGATTAAATTTAATGCTTTGAGTCACATATGTATTATACCTTTTGGCTCTTCTTTTCTAGACGTATTTCGAAGATTTCACCGAAATTAATGATTCTTTTTTCATTAATCGCTATATTAATATTTAATTTTGACTTCTGATTTTTCTATTTTTTTTTTGTTATAAACATTTTAACGCGGAAAAAAACGCTTTTTTTAAATTCAGTTGTGAAAAAAGCCCCTATGAATATACTCATTTTTAAAAATTATATTTATATTTTTGAGGTCGCTGATTACGAATATGCATTCGGTTTGTTTTATAAATTTTATTTCAATATTCTTACGTTTGTTTTATAAATTGTATTTCAACATTTTTTTATAAATTGTATTTCAATTTTTTATAAATTCATTGGTTGGATTTATATTCAATTACTTCAGAAAACCTTATTTACGGATTTTTCAGGATAGAATACGAATTGTAGTGAAAATTAAGAATTAATTTGCTTTTTTAAGCCGCTATATTGTGCTCGCCATCTTGAATTTTAATTTTTTTAGGATCTGATAAAAGATTTGATTTCAGTGACCTAAAAAACCTATAATTCTATATATTTTTCAGAGATTAATCTTTTCCTTTTTTTAATTGCGTGACTCAAAGGGTTAAGGAAATTATTAATATTTCACATTGATTGTATTAAAAAACTGAAAATGATCAGCGCGCAGTAATTTCTGAGATAAATTGATTTTTAAAAATATATAAGTATATATATATATATGTGTTAGTCTAATATCTAACTTTGACACTTCTTTATCTAAAGTAACTTCAAGATAATATAGCTTTGTAACTGGTTTATGATTATATTTAAGATTGTATTTAAGATACATTTTAAG